TTGATTTTGCGCAAGCACCTGGAAAATCCTCAACTCTTTCATCGGGACATCGGAAAACAACTCGGAATCGTGAAGTCAACGGTGAGTCGTGTGATTAAACGTTACTACGAAACTCTGCACATCGACCGGAAGGAGAAATGCGATCAGAATTGATGCTCTATTGGTGATCAGGATCACAAGCGTGTCGTGAAAGCGTTTAAGCGGAATCCCAATGCTTCGGTCAGGGATGTGGCCAAAAAGTTGGATTTGTCCAAGTCTTTCGTTCAGAGAGTGAAGGACCGGGAGGGACTGCATACGTACACAGTGCAGAACGGTCCAAATCGTTAAGAACGGCAAAATACGTTGGGTAAGTCACGGGCCCGGAAACTGTACACCCAGATCAGTGGCGTTGCCCTAACCTCAATCTACCTGTTCAACAACTCTCAAAACATAAACAAACGAAACAATATTGGTTTCAATGGATAAAAAACAGTGAAACTAGAAGACCCTAAGCCTTTTGAAACTGATTTGAATGTAAACATGACCCTAAATAACGTTTTCAAAGTTGTTGAACAGGTAAAAAGTGAGGTTACGCGACGCCACTGACCCAGATGCTGACGAAGCCTCATTGTCTCATCATGGATGATGAAACTTACGTCAAGGCGGACTTCCGGCAGCTTCCGAGGCTACTGTTCTTCATCGCCCAGCATAAGAGAGATGTTCCGAAGGAAGTAATGAAGCAGAAACTTTCAAAGTTTGCCAAGAAATACATGACTTGGCAAGCGTTCTGATCATGTGGCAAACGGAGTTCGTGACTACCGGGACTTAAACGGGGAGATCTACCTCAAGGAGTGTCTACAGAAGCGTCTGCTTCCTCTGTTGAAGCAACACGAGTTCCCTATCATCTTTTGGTCGGGTCTAGCTTCGTACCACTTTTCTTGAGTGGTACGAAACCAACGAGGTCAGTTCCGTACCCAAGGACATGAACACCCCCCCCCCCCTCCCATCGCACCGAAACTAAGGCCCATCGAAAAATACTAGGGTATTATGAAGCAGGCACTACGGAAGCATCCCAAGGAGGTCAAATCTGAGGAAGACATGAAGAAAAAGTGGGTTTCCGTACAGAAGAAACTGCAGCCAGATGTTGTACAGAACCTAATGAGTGGAGTTAAGCGTACGGTGCAAGCGTACGCTTATGTTTTTGAAGTTGAATGAAATAAATATGCCAATAGCTTACTTATGGCACAAACGAAGTGACAGACGGAGCGGCTCGAAAACTTTGGTGACTAACCTGCTATTGCAATTTTTCAGTGTACCACATGGCAACACCACTACTACTGGATTGTACCACATGGCAACACTACTATTGGATTGAACTAGCATTTTCACCAAATGTACTAGAATATTTTGGTTCTATCTCTTTCACTCTACTCAAAACTGAAATGCATAAAAAAATGACAAAATGATACGCACTCTTTGCACACTGTCAAAGAATCATTGTACACAAAATCAACTTTGTTCAAATCAAAACAAAAAAACTAACCCATCTGGTGGATGATGGCACAAGCTTCCAAGAAAATTCTATTACAGTGAACCACATTATTTAAATGGATTTCTTCGCCAGTAAGTCGTCTGTCACTTCGTTTGTGCTTATGGGTTATATTAAGTCAAGACTTGACTGTTGCGCACTCCAGAAGGATATTGATTCCCTTTTGCGCTGGTGTACATTGAACGGTATGCAGGTTAATGTCACAAAATGCTGCGCAATATCTTTCAGCCGTTCACGCGAGCCCTTACGACATGACTATAGGATAGGACTCAGTAGTTTGCTCTTCGTTTCTTCAGTTAAGGATTTGGGTGTTATCATCGACTCTAAAGTCAGATTCAATGAGCACATCTCCATGATAACTGCTAAAGCATTCGCCACATTAGGTTTCTTGAAACGAAACACAAACGCATTCCAGGACATCTACGCGCTGAAATCACTATACTGTGCTCTCGTCCGCAGTCTTCTAGAGTATGCTGTTGTTGTGTGGGCACCCTTTAACGCTATTCAAGCTAACAGAATCGAAGCCATTCAGCGAAACTTCGTAAGATACGCTTTACGTGTTCTGCCCTGCAACGATTCGGTAAATTTGCCGCCTTACGAAGAACGGTGCAGGCTGATTGACCTGGACACGTTGGCAGCAAGGGGGAAACTACTTCAGCGACTTTTCGTGTTTGGATTGCTTAACGGTGACGTGGATTGCAACTCTCTTGTGAGCCAAATCTACATCAATGCTCCTCACAGAGTTCTACGTAGTTAAACGCTTCTGTGGCAACTTACCCATCGGACCAACTATGGATTCAACGAACCGTGGACTTTGTGCTGTCGTGTGTTTAATGAAACGTTTGATGTATATGATTTTAACATTAGTAAGTCTACTTACAGACATAGAATTCGACACCTTGCCTAGAAAATATCTGTACAACATTATCTTGAAGATTTAATTGAATAAATAAATAAATAAATAAATAAATAAATAAAATGACAGTCCTGCACTTTTTTTCATTAAAGAGGTTTTAAACGGTAATTGTCTTCTACATTTAAACTTCAGAAAAGACCCTTATACGTTTTTTTAAACCAATCGCTGATAAGAATATCACTTCCGATGTTCAGCAAACAAAGAAAGCTCAGCGTTTTGTCAGTCATTGATGCCCTCAATTTGCTTCTAATCAAAGCTAATGTGTTGAAAAAACTTCCCACCTGAACGATTGGTGAGCACCAAGCTAAGATATATTCGCACACCAACGTATACGTTCGAGAACATAGCAGCTAGCTTTTCATCACTGAGAATAAATCCTGTTAAGATGCTATCCTAATATCAGCAAATGTCGATGTCTGAACGATTTCATCTACAAGCAGGCTTGATAAATCATGGGGATGCTAGTTTCAACCCGTTGCTCTGCTCCCAATAAACTGTAATGATCAACAAAGACCTTCAACCCGACATCAACCGTTTGATACGTTACATGCCTTTGTGCTTGTGAAACCTGGACGCTGGTTAACTATGACATCAAGAATTTGAAACGCTTGAAAGTTTCTTTATACACACTGAATGGTTTTGGATTATATTTTCAAAGGTCTTCCTTTCGTGGGTATGTATTCTAGAGCATCACAGAGAACGATAACTTCCTCCTTTTTGCATAATTTATGAAGACGTTGATTTGTATTGATTACGTGTAGTGACCTGCAAAATTATGACGATTTTAGATTATTCCATATTACCGATGGGTTCTTTCGAATAAAATTGTATCTGAACTAATAGCCTGTTCAATTATTACGATTGAGCGTAGAACCGAAATAATATCCTTTAGCACAACAAAATATAATAAGAAAAAAATAAAGTAATAAAGGACACTTGGGAGGGGGGTATACCCGAGCAAGATCCAGCATCAAATTGACAGCAAATTGAAATCAAGTTTTGATATCAACATCAAACTGAAATCATAATTTGATTTCAGTTTACGCAATTGACAAATTTGATAGCTAATTTTGTTTTCATTTTGCTATACATTTGCTCTTCAAAAATATGTTGTTGCAGGTTTGTTTTCATTGCCTTAGCAATACCTCAAATTGAATACTTGTTATGTTATCAACAGGAAAAATTGATATCAAATTTGGTTTTCAGTTTGCTCTCACTGATAGCAGAAATAGTTTTCAATGTGATGTCACAGGAAGATATGTTTACTCTCAATTTTGATATTTTAACCGTTAAAACGACCAAAACGACAGCAACCTGATGTCGTTTTCGTTTTTACTACACTACACCGGTGTAGTGTAAGCAGCAATAAGTGCGAGTCATTGACAGTTCATCATCATTTGTTTGTAAACAAAGGTGCAACCGATAGCTACACCCTAATTTTTTTCGGTGTTCGGCAGTGTAGCACCGGTGTAGCTACACCGCAAAAACGAAAACGACATGAGTAATCATTATCAGCGAAATCACAACATCAAATTTAGATTTCAATTTGATCTCAGACTTTGCTCGGGTATCCAGTCACATTATAAATAAAATTCATGCTACTTTATACGTTCACATGAACACAATAATAGGTCAAGGTCGACGTGTGCCAAAAACTGATTTTTCAGCGAGCGAAAATCATACAAAGATGCATAAAAATACATCATTCAAACTGGATTACCCCGTTCTACAGGTATGACTGCAGTCAAAATGGTTTGTCTGTTCTTCAACTTAGTTTTTAGAGCCCAATATAAGCATCAATCGTCAAGGTCTGCTACTACATTTATCTGCCACCCTGCTTCCATACAAAGCTAAAAAAAAATGACCGTAAATCGGTGTCTGCTGTAACATATTCTTCTTTGCCACCTTTTACCACTCTCGTAACAACAGCCACGCAATGCAGTTACATTGACGAATGTATCCAATCTTCTTCCATCGTGGAATGTACTATTTATACGGTTTGCTTCTACGTAATACCTTACACTTGTACCTTCACTGAAACACCTGATATTGACCCAAATTTTCTCTCAACTCAACCCGTTAACGAAGGCACTCTATCTTCCTACAGACCACCAAAAATACCCATACTTTTTCGTTACTTTCGATTTTCCACTAATGACCGGGAATCCCACTTCCGCACTGCAACGCAATCAATTCAAGGGGAATATTCTCCATCAAGGTAAATTATTGCCCCTTACAATCTCGTGCTCGACTACTCTCGTGGTAAGAAGTGTAAACTTAGCAGGTAGCGGATGATGGATGAAACGGAGGGAGCTCCTGCTCAATGACGTTTGCTTCGAGAATTATTATTCACTGGCTGGCACTGGTGCTTCCACTTGCTGAACATTATTTGACGTAAAACAGAGATTCAATTCCCTCGGTTCACCTGGGAAACGGTGCCTCTGTGCAGCTTTTTTACGATAATGATTTTCCAAACACTTTGCTTCTTTTTCCACTACGTGATAACCGTCGGAATACAAGATATTCTGCACTCCCAGGACACCAATTTTTCCTCACCTCTTCCTATGTTGGACGAACTGAAAAACCACGACTGCGGAACACTCAATCAAGAGAACGCACAAAGGCTGAACGATAACTTTTTTCCTGGCTCGCTCTGCTGCGAGCTTGCGCTTGATTTTTTGCACCAAATAAGCTGCAATCAACTGTGAAACATTGTATCCTTCCTCAGCGGATCAGGAACACTCGAACCGGGACACGGATTTGGACAATTTTTACGATTTTAGGCTACTTTTCCTGGCACGCACGGAACAGAAAAAACTACGCGACGACGAACGACTGCGGGCGAGATGACGACCGAACGCGAAAAATCTCAAACTGACAGTGAACATTACGTGGCCACGGGTAGCACCGCACCCGCTCGGTGACAGCGCTGCTGGTGCTGACGGGCGTATGTTTTGAACGACGGGGAATATGGGGCACAATCGGAACAATCGCCGAGTTGATGGAATAAAACATGGAACAAAATTTGATTCATACACAGACAAAAAAGGTTGTGGAATGTTATTGTTATTCCCTGACATACATACAACTACATATAAGGGGGCAAAAATAACACATTGCCTGAAAACCTGGCAGCACCTCTGAAAAACGTGTCATCTTTGTATATATTTACGTTATTTGAGAAATCCCAGGTAATCCTGACATTTAATTTTTGAAAACAAAATGAATGAAGAAAAGAGACCTATACCCTAGGGATCGTCCATTAATTATGTCACACTTTATGGGGGAGGGGGGCTTAGGAAACTGTGACGAGCCATACAAAAAAATTAAAGTCCATACAAAAAAATTAAAGTCCATACAAAAAATGTAACAAAGGGGGGACGGAGGTTGAAAATGGGCGAAATTTGCGTGACATAATTAATGGACCTTCCCCTAGTGTAAAATGCTAGCTTCTATATAGCAAGTGTTTTATAGTACACGTTGACGCTCTGATTTTCAGTAAATATAGTGTCGCAGTATAGTCACTATATTGATAGTCTGGCGGCAGCCAATTTGAACTGTCACTTGCCGCAGCCAATCGAGCATGCCGTTTTCTAACTGCATGGAACAATGTGGTGGAAGTATTGTTATCGTACGATAGTCTCGGCGATAGTTAAATCAAACGAAAATGATATCCACCCATATTCTCGTTTTCGTTCAAACCGAATTTTGCATACAAAAAAAAGGTTTTTTTTTTTGTATGGAAAATATGGTTCGAACGAAAACAAAAATATGGGTGATCATTTTAGATGGTAATTTATCAATGCGTTCTTGAATGCACTATTGTTGCGTTTTTCTCTGGAAACATCGACGTACACACTAACTTATTTTTACCGAACTCATTATATTTTTTGACGAGATTAGAAGAGCTGAGCGCCAGGTGATCGTTTCGGTAATTTCAACAGATGCTGAGCAATCGGTAATCAAGGCACTCTTGCGAGCTTTCAAATATAACCGAAAAGATTGCTTTATTGTGACGACATCTCAGTACTTTTTTGAAAAACTTTAAGCAAAAATATATAAATTCGATAGCTGAGTAACCCAGTATTTTTTTTATGAAGTTCAGCAATTACAGAATGTTTTTTATTACTATTATTTACTAACTTTTATATTTACTATTTATTGTATTAACAAACACAAGCATTTTTATCATGGCAAACAAACGAAATGAAAGCAAATCCAGGAATTAACCACAGACAAACAGACGTAACTCTTTGAAAAAGTTTTTCTTGAAAACATAGTATCTCAAAACATAGGACCTAAGTAACGACATCTCTCGGGCTTCTCGCGGAAAACAAGCTTGCTCGCTAACTCGCAAACAATATTGCATAAAATTTCTATAGAATGTATAGAAACGTCAAAGTGATCCGATGCCAGCGCTGCGACGAGTAGTTCGCGGAACTGATAATATTCTAATCAACCGTTAAATGCGTGAACGAAGATACACAATGAAGTGTTACGTCTGTTTGTCTGTGAATTAACTATTCGATACTTTGCATAAGCCGCTCTCCAGTCGTTTGAAGTTGAAGTTGAAAAATTGTATCTTTTCAATTGTTGGTCTACAATATAATGAATTGGTTCCGCTTTTTGATAGTTCATAATTTCATCCGCCAGACTATAAATATAGCGACTATATAGTGTCCCAGCCCAGGTCTCAGCCGTCCAAGTATCCGGGAACCAATCGCCGGCAGAAAAAAAAAACAACAGATTATGCTATCATCTACCGCCTCAGTATTCTACGGAGAAAATATAATGAAAATTAATGTACATACAAAGAATTTCCTTCGCTCCGACATCTCACTGTTCGATCCGCTCGAAAATTTCGCCCATTTTCACTTTATTTAGACGAAGATCAATGAAAACTTTTAAACAACTTTGAAGACAATTCAATTTTCACTGCGTACGAAAAAATTATCAATACAAAATGGTGCGCTTTTGAAGTTTTTGACAGATTTTCCACGTGTAATAAATACCAACAGTATTTAGTATTTATTTCAGTAAAAGTAGCATGATAACCGACAAGTCAGTAAGAGTTAATACCGAAATAGATGGTCACAGGGGAGAATCCCCCGTATTCTGCACCATGAGTGAGGTGAGGTGACTCGCTGTCACTAGTGAGTCGACAAAAGTCACCGCGAGTGAGGTGATTCTCCGTGCAAATCAAATGGAGAGTCACCTCACTCGCGGTGACTTTTGTCACCTCACCTCAATCGCGGCGCAGAATAAGGGGGAATTTAGGTCTACAGAACATATCAGTAATGAAAATAGCAAAACACAGTAGGGGAAATGTCGGCTTCGGCAATACCTTAACCTATTATCTTCTGGGGATAAACAAAGTCCTAGAGCACTCAAATTTGGCCAATAGCTGCTCTGAAACACAATGTATCTACATGCCAGAATTGAGCTATCAAGTATGTTGTTTACCCCTGACGATAATAGAATAAGGTATTGCCGAAGCCGTCATTTACCCTAAATGATTTTTGAAAATACTGTTCTTCAGCAACTCACGTTACTATTTTCGGTATAAGCATGGAAAATAACCGAATGTGTAGCAATTTAATAGTTTTGCCGAGTATTGTCCGCTAAAAAAAGTACCGAACATTTAGAATGCGATTAGGTGTGTAGGTAATGCAAAGACCAACAATTGAAATAGGCGGAACAACCAAACGTAAACAATGGCTTTGAACACAAAATTCTCCGAAAGAGCGCTCGGTCCGTTATACATTTGATATGGTTTGTAATGTGACATAGAAAACAACAAAAAGAGAATACCGTAATATTAGCAATAAAACAAAGAAAATAATACAAGCGGAACACTGCATAAGATCCCAAGCGATACCGACAGACTCTCTTCATCGATCCTCTCCCTGCATCCCCACGGCCATGAAAAGACATGTTCAGCCATTTGCAGCACACAGTTCGATGTGTGCAGCTATTATCTAGCACATTAAACGGAAAACACGAAAAGAAACGGTTTTATAGCAAAGTTATTAACAAAGGACCAAATCGATAAAGAGACTCGATCAAACGACCCCACGCACTGCTCAGCTTGTAAAGGGTGATACGGTCAAAATTTGGTCAATATCAACTTGACATATTTCTTTCAATTTTGCATTTAAAAAACCTGAACACCCCTCATTTTGAAGGTGTGTGTGTGTGTAGAATGTTGCTCCTATTTTGATTTTGGAATTCACTCTTCAGTTGTCAAAATGCCGTCCAAGCAAGAAGAGCAGCGTATCAAAATTTTGCTCGCGCATCGCGAAAATCCGAGCTACTCGCACGCAAAGTTGGCAAAATCGCTAAAAGTTGCCAAATCAACCGTTACAAATGTAATTAAAGTGTTTGGGGAACGTTTGTCGACAGCCAGGAAGTCTGGATCGGGGGGAAATCGAAAACCGGAAGCCGCTGAGACGACAAAGAGAGTTGCCGGTAGTTTCAAGCGAAACCCTAACCTCTCTCTCCGAGATGCCGCAAATAAGCTGGGTGTATCGTCTACAACCGTGCATCGAGCCAAAAAACGAGCCGGACTATCGACTTACAAGAAGGTAGTGACTCCAAATCGCGATGATAAACAAAATACGACGGCCAAAGCGCGATCCCGGAGGCTGTACACGACGATGCTGACGAAGTTTGACTGCGTGGTAATGGACGACGAAACCTACGTCAAAGCTGACTGCAAGCAGCTTCCGGGACAGGAGTTTTATACGGCAAAAGGAAGGGGAAAGGTAGCAGATGTTTTCAAGCACATGAAACTGTCAAAGTTCGCAAAGAAATATCTGGTTTGGCAAGCCATCTGTACCTGTGGCTTGAAAAGCAGCTTCCGGGACTGTCAACCAAGAAATTTACGTGAAAGAGTGTTTGAATAAACGTCTGCTGCCTTTCCTGAAGAAACACGGTTGTTCCGTACTGTTTAGGCCGGATTTGGCATCTTGCCATTACGGTAAAAAGGCCATGGAGTGGTACGCCGCCAACAACGTGCAGGTGGTTCCCAAGGACAAGAACCCTCCCAACACGCCAGAGCTCCGCCCAATTGAGAAATACTGGGCTATTGTCAAGCGGAACCTAAAGAAGACCAAAAAACTGCTCAGGGCGAGCAGCAGTTCAAGGCAAACTGGCTTTCTGCGGCAAGAAGGTGGACAAGGTGGCTGTACAAAATCTGATGGCAGGGGTCAAGCGTAAGGCCCGGCAATTCGGATTTGGAAAAGCGGAAGCCTAACTGAATATTTTTCCTGAATTTTATACTAATTGAACTTGAAAAAGAAATTTAATTTGATTTTTTAAATAAACGATTTCACCGATTTACACGCGTTTTCCCTTGACCAAATTTTGACCGTATCACCCTTTATAAACAATATCACATCATTAACCCATTTCTGTATCATTTCGGCAATCATACAGTCATCGAAATGAAGGGTCAGTACAACCACAGACATAACACTCACAATCACATTCATCGCAAATAATGTTTTAGTTGGGAATGTGCTTGCATTTGTCATGGTGGCGCCACTGAAGCAAGCCACCACATTTCAATTTTATCAGTGATGCCAGTTCTTTTTCACATCTAGTTAGTAGATGTCAGCTCTTGAAAATGATAAGTGGTCAAGGCATCCCACTGGAGACACATACCACATCTGGCGATTCCCAAAAAAATAGTTGTTGAATATTACATCAAAACTGCTGCACATTAGTCATTCCGTTTCTAATATTACGTTGTACGATGTACATAAAATTTGAGAACAAATCATGTTGATGACTGTAATATTCAATCAACTTTTATCAGTTATTGATGTATGTGGTACAACAATTTGGGAAAACTTAATTATGTGATATTGACACTGTGGAACTAGCACTTAGCTTCAGGTCTCTACAATTAGCAACCCTTACTGAGCCCTTGCGGCAAGTCAAGCCGGCCAGTTCAGCGCAAGGGTTTATCTTTGACTATTCATAGTCCAAACAATTCTCTTTTTTAAATGAAATTAGTAAGTTAGATGAGATATATTGATAGTTATAAACTGTTATAACAATGTGGCTGTAAGAATCTAAAAATAAAAATCAACGAAAATAGTTTTTAAAGATGTGTTAACTTCTAAATATTACTCATTATTCGTCACAATATCGATCATAAAGCTAAACCGAGCTAAACAACAAACGTTTAATAGGTATGACCACTTGAATAAAAGATTAATTGATAGTTGATGAATACAATTTACAATGATTTAATTTTTTAAGCGCTACACTGCCGTTATATGCATGAGGACCACGGTACATAAAGATTGCATAGAATATGGGACATGCGTATAACGGCAGTACAGAGCATTATAAAAAAAAAACACACGCCGAACGCAAATTCTACGCCAGTTGCAACAACCCTGAATCATGAATAGCGAAGCCTCAATACAGGATGAGCCAAAATAATTGGTAAACCAGCAAATCTTAATTTATGATAGGTACTAATTTATAATAAGTAATTTCTCTATCGATCTAGAACCTATTAAAATTTGTAGATATACTTCGAGGGCTCTTCTAATTTCGCACCGCTCACAGGGCAGATAAATGTAAACATCCAACCACGAGTGCTGCGTAACACCACCTGTGGTAACACCGTTATGTTGAGATTGATACTACGTCGCAAGGTCGCAATAAGCTATAGGTTTAGCATCGGCGGTTTACAGCGAATGTTCAATCGTGTTTCTTCGATATTCGACTTCCACTTGCCAAGACAGATAACTTCGCCAGCGTTTTGCTTCGTTTTTCTCTGGTGCTGTAAACCGAGAGTGATTGTGTTTTTAGCAGTGTTGAGAAAATATAAAAAAAAAAACCAAATCTCACCAACGCCCAAGATCACTCTTGATTTTCGTAGACAAAAATCAACAAGCAAACAACTGCGATTGATTTTGCAAGCTGTGATATCGCAGCTCGGAATATCAAGCTAACAAAACTCACCAGCTGCAAATCTCACCAAACTGTGGTGAGATTGAGTTTAATGATTTTTGCTTTACACCCGAATGCAGCTGAAACTTCCATAACGGCTTGCAGCAGTCCCTTCGCGCCTGCCATCGGTGAAGATTAAAAAGAGATAGCTGACTATGCTTTCTCTTTCTAAGAAAACGATGTGCAATGGAATCATTTTTGTGTAGAGTCAATTCTCAGCTTGATTTTTGCACATTTTTAATAGTCTCGCAATATCAAAGGAGCTTGTAAAATCAATATCAAGCATGATATTTTGTTCCAATATCACGCGTGATATTGCGAGCGCATGAGAGCGGAAAAATATCAATTGATTTCTGATTTTGCCAACACTGGTTTTTAGTATATGTATTTTATTCATTCGACCTTTGTTTTTAATTTATTCGTTCAAACCAAGGTTGCAAATACTCATTCCAGCTAAAATAATGTTTTTCGGAATAATAAAACCAAAAGATGGTATGATGGCATGTTTTACTTGTTACTTACAAGAAGAGGTTACAAAGTATGCGTTTGAAACATAAAACCTGTATATTTTGATTTCTATGAGTCACAATCAGCGATTTGCTGATCGCTGAGTGAGTGAGTGAGTGAGTGTGTGAAAAATCGCTGATTGTGACTCTCATGAAGTGAAATAAACAGGTTTAATATGTCAAACACATTCTTTGCAACCTTTTCTTGTATCTTACCTATTCAAAATATGATCATAGCATTTAATTATTTCATAATTTAAAAAAAAACATTGTTAAAACATTGTTAAAACATTGCTGAAATGAGTATTTGCAACCTTGGTTCAAACAATCATTCACAAAATAAATAAATAAGACCTCATTTTAATCAAACTTCAGTTAAGTCGATTACTGCAGATAGGCCGTATTGAAAATGTTAATTCATCTAGATTTGTACATATTGTGCGATGTGCATGTCCAAAGATGATTAATAGGGATTTCTTTCATTGTTGATTAGCAGGTCACACAGCTCTATTAATCAGAGCATTTTTATTTTGCAAAATTTTCCTATATCAATACCATAAATCCGGTTGAATACGTGCTAACGACTATTTTGTTTGAGAGATGCGAATAAACTGATTTGTGTGTACGCCTCAGAATCATCTACGGGATTGTGTAGTTAGGTAGGTTCTTCTAGGCAGCTACCGTCCGTGGTAGCCCATTGCGATCATGTCGCTAATATTCGATGTGCCGTTAGCGCTCTGTCTTTCTCTATATAAATGCGTTGGCGTATGGTAAAGGTAATCTGATTTTTTTTAAAGACTTATAGAAATTTGCGCATGATAAATGTATGTTGTAATACCTTCAGTTTAAGATTCGCAGATGTTTCAATCGTTTTATTATCATCTTGAAAGGATTTGTTCCTTTCGTTGAATGCGGTAAAAGCAAACTTTTTATTTTTATTTATTTGTGTATCTTCCTGCGTCCGTGTAAATAACAATCTTGTATGATCCATTTTCTCTTTTTGCTTTAGAGCGGCATGAACTGTTCAATAGATTTTTTCAACATTTCCTTATCGGTAAATATGAAAAACATTGCTTATATTTGGTTTTTAATGTTTTCAACATGTTTCTTTAAGATTTTAAGTCGGTATGATTAATTTTAGAAAAGATGTTTGTGCATTTTTCTTCCGTCCTACAAGAAAGTGCATTCTCGCATTCATCACGATTTAGAAAGAGTGGTGTTTTTTTTTGTTTAGGAAAGAAAGATTTAAGTCTTATGTTTAGAGAGAGGGTCTTTTGTTCAAAATAGAATCTGTAGATCTTTTTTTTAGCTAGTGTTTTTGAATTCTTTGCACATATTTTTAATTAATTCAATGATTGTTTTAAGTTATCGGTAGTATTTTATTTATCTCTTTCTATTTTGAAATTTACTTGGAACACTAATGTGAATTTTTTTTTTCCAAATCACGTACAAAAGGATCGAACAGCCAATGACTAAAACTAGTAATTGCATGTGTTATCTTAATTTCAAAATTAAAAACCACTAAAATTGCTTGCAAAAAATCACTAGAAATGCTATCTGCTCTCATTTGAAGCCCCTTTTGCACTACTTTGGCATAAAACTGCGGATTTGAAATGTTGTAGCCAACGAGCAGAATGAAGTGATTTCATCAGGGGTTTCCGATCGATTTTGATTTGGATGCTGCTCAAAACAACATTTGGGATTAAACATCCTGAAACTTAGTTTTGGCAAGGTTAAGCCAGATGCCAGATGATCGAATCCAGGTAGATGGAATCCATGTTTCCCATTAAAATACTCAGCGGCCAAACCAATAGAAAGCCAAAATAGAGGCAGAGAATATTTAAAACAATACTGATCAAATGGGAGTCAAATTAATCAGTACTTGAACACTAAGTAAATAATCCCTCTTAAAGCGTACAGTATTCTACAAGACTAGGAATAGACTTCAACAGTTCGTCAATGTTATGTTTCTTTAGATTTTCTGTGCATGCCTGCGACAGTTTGAGAAGTTTGACAAATGTTTGTAAGTTGTCCACAATCTCTTTCGTCATTGTTTCGCCATTCAAGGTAATCTGTTCAGCTAGCTTTTCCCCTACGTTTGCGTTGACAAGCAGTTCATCTAGCTTCGCACCATCGGTGGATTTATTTGGCAAGATTGTGGACAAAATACTGAGTGCAATCAGTGCTTCGTTTTGCATAACCAAATGAGTGGAATTTAGCATACCAACCATACTGGCAACGGCGCCATCAACCGCTACAAACCGTCTCAATCCGGTATCGTCCGCTGCGGTGAGATCCTTGTTGGCATGGTACGCGTGCTTGATCAACCACGCCATCAACCGGAGCGATTCGCCGAGTACTCCGGTGAATTCAGACGTCTTGCTCCAGTGTACCAACTGTTTGATGAGTTTCTCATTTTGCAACAACTGTTGGGCTATTTTTTCTACAAATACAAATTTTATCAAATTACAGATAAGAAAATGCCAACCAAAGCACATTAATCGTACCTTGACCATCAACGGTCATTCGAAGCGTCCCGAGGAGCTTAAACACTACCGGCGGTTGATGAATTTCCAGCATGGGCAAAATGATGTCCACCAGACCGGCTTCGATGACGGCAGCCTTGTTCGGTTTCGGTATGACTAGGTTTTTCAATGTGCTTAGAAGTGCATGCTGCAGAGTCATCTGGTGGTCGATTCCGTTGTTCTTAGCCAAGATAGCTGGAATTCAGTAGAAATTGCTTACTCACGTAAAACCAAAGCATAATGTATGTTTAGCTTACTTACATAGCAATTTATGCATAATATTATTCTCCACCATGTAAATGCAATGGCTATCTGAACGAGCGAAGTTTCCAAGTGCCAGTACACCGGTCGTCAACAGTTCCACATCGTAAGAATCCAGCCAATCTTCCATATATTTTAGCAGCGGAGTTGTGTAAAGGTAATGCATCGATTTATCTGAAAAGTAATTGGTTGAAGGCTTTTTTCAGTATACTCACTATATTTAATCTAATTACAGACATATTCGCCGGCATTGCGAGACTTGAGATCCTCGCCCCTCCTTGCGTGGTTAATGATTCGTACTTATTTTAAAAAAAGCTTGTATTGATCGTGGCCACCCATCAACTCCTTAACCAACGCCTACCCTGAGGTCAGGTGTTCACTCGTGTGCCGGCGATGAGGCATTATATAACATGTCAAAACATCATGTTGATGTCATGTGGCGTAAGGCGAACGTCGACATGATGTTGTGACATGCTAGTACAATAAAAGTTCCCAATTTCCGAAAAGAGACGAACCAGCAGATCTGCGGAAGTTAACCCTACCAAACCTCCATTCTATCTAGTCAAGATATCAAGGGTAGCAAACCGGAGCAAAGTTGTTTAACAAAATAAAAGCAAATCGATATTAAACTTTGCAGTTCCTATCATACTGAAAACTCATTTTAATGTCAATTATTGCGACATATGTCTGATATCCCTCCTCATGGCTAGTTTTTGCACCTTGACGTTGGTGGGATGGCTTAATCTCTTGTCATAATGGGGCGTTGGAGACGGTTGGTTTATAGCCGGCATCTCTAGCTCATGTCGTGGCAGTGTGCCGTCATGGGCGGGCGTTGTGGATTAGTGAGCCTTCCTTCTCTGATGAACCATGGCTTGAGAGAACCAAAGTTCTAGCCGCTAGTGGCAGTATCACACTATTCGATAGCCATGTCGCAACACGTTTATGTGAAGGCACTGACTTTCACCCGTATTCTTGTTTTCGTTCGAACCGTATTTTCCATACAAAAAAAAAAGGTTTTTTTTATGGAAAATACGGTTCGAACGAAAACAAGAATATGGGTGTTTGTATTTAGGTGTAGTACTAGCGGGATAGGCCGCAAGTCACTCTTATTTTATTTTGAAACATACCAATACCAATACCAAGAGAAGGCTTTTTATCTTAAATAAATAAGAGATGAACCAACCCTTTCTAATAAAGCAAAAAAGATGTGCAAAAATTATGCTTTTATGAGCAGCCTATCTATCTGAACAACTTTGCCGAAGACCGCAATCTTCTATCTAGTCGAGATGTCAAGTTATAACAAACAAATGGAAGCCAAATTGCACACACACCAGGAAAAGATCTGCCGCCTAGTGTGGAAATCCTCAACTGAAATGTCAATAGGTCTGCTGATTAACTTTGGCGAAAAAAGACAGTAACCTTCTAGTTGGTCGGAATCTTGATATTGGAAAGAGTCATTCAAGTCGACCGTCTACGACTTACTAAAAAAACTCGTCTGCCATTTTTCATCCGATGACGATAGTCATCGCAAGCTAGCCTCGATGCACATTAGTAGTAGAACTTGACATAATATAATATCTAGAATGGTTCAAACAATTTTAATACAGAATGCCTTGAGAATAATGCTAAACCTGACTTAGAATCCGCGAATGATCAAACCACAAAACTAACAGTTTGGATTGTATTATATTTCAAACGTATCTCACATACATATGCATCATCTAGGAATTCCCCCAGAAGATAAAAAAAATTACCCCAACCCTCACACGTCAAAACGAATCCTCAAATAAATCCTCATAGTTACCTCCAGTCAGTATAAGTACAATCAAATCACAGGCCAGCTTCATTAGTACCCGCGCCTCATCGGTATTGGCGAAAGTCTTGTACTTCTCCAGCAGTTTGTATATCGTCTCGCACAAACCTTCCTCTGCCAGCAGCAGCTTTACGTCATCGTTCTGCGCCTCGTAGTGCAACAGGGCCAAGCACGACTCGGCCAAGTCCGGATTTGTACATTTGGCCAATATCTCTGCAATCAGCTTGTTGAGCGTCGATTCAAAGTACAGATCACTGACCTGCTCAGTCAGAATACTCAGCGGTGGTAGTGTGTTTAGCAGCAGATCCTCGTACTTATCCACATCTGCAATGCAGCGTGCAAGAATCTTCTCAATCTTACCGATGACTCCGAGCTCGACTGCTCGTTCCGCAATATCATCAGTTCCGAGGAGATAGTTGGAAATCAATCCACATCTCACCCTCACAAACTGATCCTTGTCTTCCTCGTCCGTGTCCACATCCAGATCTAACAGGGAGAAAATCTGCACATCTCCCTCTATAGCTTTGATGACACTACGAGCGTCGTCGTTTGCGTAGCATATATTGCCCAAGGCTCGACAAACTTGGATGTTCAGGTCCAGCTTACTGTTTTCACTGTCACTCGAAAGAAATGAGATCAATTTCCGGATGATATCTTCTTTGGTAAACTTATCCCGCTGAGTTTCGGTTTTGGCCACCTCGGCAATGCATCGTGCCACCTGAACACGAACGGCCGGATTGTCCAGTGAGAGCAAATCAAGTAGATCGGCTTTGATGTCGTACTTATCACAGAGGTTGGTTTCCGCATCAGATATCTGTTTTAGCAGAGGCAGTGCCCTCTCGGAACTTTTCTCCAAGGTGGCGTTCTTCAAACCGGCAATGATTTCATCCATGTCAGCTGTGGGAAAAAGAAAATAGGACATTAGATGATTAGTGAACCGTGCGGAATCAATTTATAACAGCCGATGAAAGTGTTTGGTTGGTTGGATGGTACACATGGTGCTAACAATTCTATGCACTTGGCAAGTAGCCAAAAAAGGGAGAAGTTTAAAATTAAATTCTGGGTGGAGGAGTATACAAGTGGTGGATTCTGAGATAGGGTTGGTCTGTTTAGATTCATTTGTTCATAAGTAACAAAATTTCACATGAGCTTCTTACTTAACACTACGTCGTTTGATAGGTGAATAATCAAACGACGTAGGATCTGTCAGACTCAGTCGAACACGAAAATGTAATTGGTTTTTAAAAACTTCTGTCATCTGCAGCAGAAGTAGAGATCAATACATTTTTTTTAATTAAACGAAAATAGCATTTCAGGCGTGACATTTGGAAACGGCACAAAAGCTTTTGTAAACAAAAGTTGTGAGGCACTTTCCACGCGATCCGAAATACGCCTACGCAAACCAATACCACTATGACGCATTTCGCGCCAAATCGAATCGAAGCTGGCAGCACCCTCTCAGATTTCAATAAAATTTTCTGGATGTGTAGACTTTGACTAAATAAGCACTTTTGCATACTCATTTTTTCAAAATTTATCTAGACTAACATTTGAGAAGGGCCAAATTTTTTCTGCCGATTTTTACATCGCGAGATGGGCACTTTTAAGGAAAAAAAAGTTTTTCTTACAAAAACTTTTTCATGTCTGAACTGATTTTTTAACGTACCATTTTTACACAAAACTAAACCAATGAAGCTTAAAATAATCTCAGAACCCAATGAAGCTCCATTTGTGATTCAATTTTGTCTAATCAGCAACTAATCACTTGGATTAATCGAGAATTCCATATGAAAAGGGCTTATATCATTAGAAAATAATATAATTGATTATATTGTCTACTACTGAGGCAAAATCCGATACTCCTATAGCAACTTAGAATTCTTAGCTCAAATTATGCATAAAGAATTAGGTATGAATAAAATTTAAATTGAGATCTTCTTTCGAATCAACAACGATTTGGGAAGTCAACGTATCGCATCATAATTCTATATGCCCTTCTGTTATTTATACCTAAACCATTAACATTACATACCTACCACTTCATTCTACCTATGAGCACTATAAAACTTAGGTTGATTTCATACAAGCAGCAGTCAATCTGATAACGAAAGTTGTGAAGACAAGTTGTAGTAAAATTATTATCATGGACCAAAGTAGTAAATTAAGGCTCAAAGGATTGAAATGTTGTGCAAATATAAATAATCCGAGATGCAACCGAAATAAGTTACGGGCCATATCGTCAATGATGGTAGAAAAAATACATTCTATGGGATATAACCACGAAATTGATGAAACGATGAGCACAAATGCTCTTTCACAAATGAGTCATGCCGTAGCGTGATATCTCATAATAGAAGTCCAGTTATGAAAAAACGCCGATCGGTTGGAAATGAAGTAAATATCCAACCGTCAACTAGTGGGCAGCAGCATAGTGATGATACAGGTCCATCAATGAGTGGCCATCAATCCGTAGATGAGCTAGGTAAGAACAGTCATCCTGATGATTCTATCAACTTTTAACTGCAACCTCCTAATTGCACTTATTAATTATTTTTTCTTCTTCTTTCCTTCAGATACAGTGCCATCGGTTCCATCATTGGAGTCAATTCCATCAGCAGATGATCTGCAACGCCCATACAATGTTGAGAAGTTTAATGGTTTTGTGGAAACGTTGAATTTATCTCCAATTTCATCGAGGAACATGAGGAGCATGGATTATCGTTCAATAAAATCTCTAGAAATTACACAAGCAGTGCGAAAAAATATATTTGGCCTAGATACAGCAGACATTAGCAAAGTAGAGGCATACGAAGAAATGATTGTGCAGCTAAAGGAGAAGTTCAATTCCCCTACAGCTGACAGAAAAGATCAGATAACAGTATTATCAGTATTGCCAAAGTCTTGGTCCGTGAATAAAGTTGTAGCAGAATTCAACGCACCAACGTACATGGTGAGGCAGGTGAAGCGCCTTGTTAATGAGCAGGGTATTCTAAGCACACCCAACAAAAGAAGTGGGCTAGTTAGGGAATTTTTTGATGACAATGATATTAGTAGACCTATGCCCGGAACAAATGATTTTGTTTCCGAGTTTAGAAATGGACGAAAAGAACACGTTCAAAAACGCCTGTTAATGATGTCCCTCAAAGAAGCGTACATGATTTTTGTTCACTGTATTTACACAATTGCGACCAAAACATTGCATTTTGTTTGATTCTACTGGTATACATAATGTATGTATTTGTACAATTCATGAAAATGTAAAATTAATGATCAACAGTTTAAGAATTATGTCACAAGATGCAATAATAGAAAAAATGCTTTGTAATATTTCCACTAGAACAACTGATTGCTTTTTCCGTGATTGCGAAAAGTGTGCTTCCAATGAAGAGGAACTTACTTTGCTATTAGAATCAAATAACAAACAAGATGTTGTGTTTCAACAGTGGCTGAATACTGATCGCTGTAATTTGGAAACGATTATCAAGCCTGTTGATGAATTTGTTCCGTATATCATTGATAAAATTAACAAACTTAGAACTCATGACTTTATTTACAAACAACAGTCATTTTTACTAAGAAATAAAAAAGAATCATTAAAAGAAGGCGAAATTCTAGCAATTTGTGATTTTTTTGAAAATTATTCATTCATTAGCCAAAACGCTGCTCAAGGATATCACTGGAATAATTCTCAAGCAACAATACATCCATTTGAAGTTTATTATAAGAAAGACAATAAACTTGAAAATGTTAGCTTCATTATCATATCAGAAGTAATGACTCACGATACAGTTGCAGTTCAGTTGTTCATCTCAAAAATGATAGATTTTAACAATCGATAGATTTTTCTAAAATTACTTTTATGTCAGATGGGGCAGCATCACAATACAAAAATAAAAAAATAAACTTTGCTAGTCTGTGTAGATTTCACTCAAAGCATGGATTAGAAGCAGAATGGCATTTTTTTGCAACGTCTCATGGAAAAGGTCCCTGTGATGCCATTGGTGGCACTCTCAAGCGAATGGCAAAGAAAGCTAGCCTTGCTCGAGATTATGGAAACACCATAACAACTCCACGAGAATTATAGTTGAACAAACAGATAAAAATATCACAAAACTACGTTTCGAGTACATATCCACTGAACAGTACATCGAAATGTCAGAAGAACTTGAAGAACTATATGACAACACAAAGACAATATCTGGCACACAGAAATTCCACAGTTTTGTGTCTATAGCTGGTGACAAAGTAGCGGCAAAAAGGTATTCTAATTCAGAAGATGAACCAAAAATATTTAACTTGATTTGAAAAAGGAAAAAATAGCATGTATGAAAATAGGTTTAAAACATTGAAAATATATAAATAAATGATAGGGGAAATGTAGGTAATGTCAGCCTACATGTCCCTAATTTGGGCCCATCGCTAAAAGTCTGCTATTTATCAATTTTATCTAGATGAACGCGTCATTAGGACGGTACTAATGGATATTTTTGGTCGCTATTGAAAATTTTGTCGATTGCTGAATTTATGTATGGACCCAAATTAGGGACATGTAGGCCGACATTACCATTGGTGGTACCATAGAGGTAACTCTTAGACCAGAAGGTCCCGAAGAAACGTGCTCAACTTTATGGCTCAGCTCTGGTACTCTCTTCGGTCCCAAGCTGATCGATGCACCCCTCGAAACATAGGAAAATCCACTAGCCCCTCATTTTATCTGTCAAACTTTCATAGCGAATCAAAACGAACATAGTGTAGTACTGAAGTTTCGCCTAGAATGGGGTACGTTAATCGATTTGTTTAGGACCAATAGGCTAGTCAAGTAGTGAGCCAATTTAAAATCGTTAGTTTCGTATTGATTGTTGATATTACCGGTGGAAACTAACGATTTTAAATTGGCTCACTACTTGACTAGCCTATTGGTCCCAAGCAAATCGATTAACGTACTTCATTCTAGTATAAATTCCAGTACTACACTATGTTTGTTTTGATTCGCTATGAAAGTTTGACAGATAAAATGAGGGGTTCGTGGAGTGAGGTTTGTTTCGAGGGGTGCATCGATTAGCTTGGGACCGAAGAGTGTACCAGAGCTTAGCCAAAAAGTTGAGCTCGTTTCTTCGGGACCTTCTGGTCTTAGAGTTACCTTTATGGTAGTACCTACGACCACACCTGTTAAGAAGTAGTTCGCACTAGGCTTCGGTGGTAGATCTTAATGCCAGTAACGCACTACGAAAAGGTAATCTACCAGGCGTTACTGTATTGACATTTCTGTACTTATCCTAAATAAGGACAAAATCGAAAAAAAAGAGAATCGCGTAAATTCTTATTCATATTTTCGTCACTGACAAAGATTCTCCTGGTAACAAAAAGTTTTATTTCGAGCATTCTGTGTCAAGTAATTTAATTTAGTTTCACATTTAGCTAATAAAAATCTGCACATGTCCGTCACTGACAGCATTGTCTCTGACAATTGACATGGTTTACCTTGACGATGACTGTTAGCTCAAATGAGTGACCAAAGCAGAATTTTAAATACCGCCGTGTATTGTCGAGATTTTGCAGCACTATGCCAAGAGTGCAAACCGCGTGTCGATGTAGTGACACAGCAGGCCTGCCCCGTTGCCGAGAAGGGAGCTTGCACATAGCATTGACACTCAGTTTGCACCCTTGGTATTCTGAGTGTTAAAGATGAATACTGCCGCTCTTCGCATGCCCGTCCCATAGCGAAAATCGGCAAGCCGAAAAAATCGCGTTTTAAGGTTGCTTCGTACCATTGGCTTTGACGGCACCGTTGAAAAATCGTCTCTTCTAGGAACGATTTACAGTCCCCCTTATTCTGCGAGTCACGTGACTCTCTCTCACCGGTGAGGTGACAATTGTCACCTCGTGTGAGGTGACTCTCCATGCAAATCAAATGGAGAGTCACCTCACACGAGGTGACTATTGTCACCTCACCGGTGAGAGAGAGTCACGTGACTCGCAGAATAAGGGGGAGTTTCTAATGGGATTTTTCGGTGGAGTGAAAGGATAATACAAAGTTCGCCATGTTTCACGTACAGTCTGACGTTTGCTTTTGGATTTTACTAAAGAGGCTGAATTTATAAAAAGACGACATGTCAAAATTGGAACAATCGATTGTCTGTCAAAGTCATAGGAAAAGTCATTCCAATCGAGCAGAAGACCTGTCAAATGGATAAGATGTCGCCTCTTTCTAAATTCAGGCTCTTTAGATTTTACCATAGGAGTAAAGAGCTACAGAGTCGCCGTCAACACCAATTGCTTCTTATGTGATGGGGCAACCAATGTGTCTGTTTTCCAATCCTTTCCAGAAAAAAGTTGATGAGTTCATCCAGTATTATGAAACTATGCGTAATTAGCTACCATTAGCATTGAAAAACTCAGTTTTGACAAAAACGACTATGGGATCGACAGGCGAAGAGCGGCAGAATAGGTCCTATACAAAATCGCATCTATACCGTACTCTACCGAAACGGGTTAGCCATATATATGACAATATAGCTACAGAAAAAATGAATTGAATGGAAAATCCGGTTCGGTCTAAAACGGAAATAAAGGCTACTGTTGGCTGGACGAACCGACTGCAATGTAGCTCGAATAGACAGACATGTGATAATAGACGAATTATTGTCGTACAACGGACTCCACGATACATTGAAGTCTGGTAAACTTCATCCCCATACTAAGTGTACCATGTACAAAACGCTGACAAGACCGGTTCTATACGGACACGAAAAGAGGTCCTAGATGCACTGGGAGTTTTCGAACGTGTTTAGGGCCATGTTTGGCGAGGTATGGAAGAGAACAATGAAAGCCGTTGAAGCTGGAATATTGCAATGGGGGACACGTTGTGAGAATGTCGGAAAACAATACCTAACATAAATATGGGGTTTTCCTCGAATTCGGCAGGTAAAAGAAGCACCTGGTTAGACCTAGTGAAGAAAAATGTAGAAAATGTGGAAGACAAGCGGTCACGAACCTAGTTAACCGGCGTAACATTGTGTAGTAGGTAAAATCTCATTGAAGGACGTACTGTCGTTATACGCATAACTGTTCTATGCAATCCTTGTGGGCCGTCTTGGGAGATGTTAATATGTATGCGTATAACGGCAGCGTAGTACCTTAGGAATAATGTCATCAAATGACAACTTTAATACAGACTACCGCATCGTAGTCACAAGAAATAACTGATATTAGAGGACAAATTATGCTAACTAGCTACCTATTATTTTCGTATACACTTATGAGACCTGAATGTCATTAGATCCACCCTCGGCTTCATACAACACCACTCGATAGCACCAATCAAGCCATGTAGCTATGTCCGACAATTAATCATTTGTTTAACTTAGTTGCTGCCAAATAAATAATCAAGAACGACAGTTACAATTACTTTTAGATCGACATCGATGAGGTCATAAAATAGTAATACTACGTTGTATCGAAAAACGAGACACAAAATATTACATCATTTAAACAGCGAACAACAGACACAACCCACCAGAGATTCGACACTCTAACCATCGCCGACACTAATCACCACAAAACAGATGCACTTGTGGACCAACCAACCGGAGCAACAGACGACGGCAAGCACTGATTTCTTTCAATGATAAACGTAGCTGTTAAAATTAGAAAATCCCGATGGTTTATTTTAAAAGGAAAACCGAAATTACTTTCCAAAGGTAAACATACGCATTTTCCCCTAACGCGTGCACGGCAGAGAGTATATCAACTAAACTACTGTCGGGCTCGATACAGAGTGTATAAATTGCCGAATGGGAGTTGTACGACCCATGACCCATCCCACTCTGCTCCCGCGCCCAATTCGGTCGTCTCTATGTATCGATCCGTCTATCTTGTGCTTTGCTACCGTCTCGAGAGTGAATGATCTTGCAGGGGCTCATTCGAATGCAGCAGTGTGATGGAGCAATTAGTCAATGCAAAAAAAAACACCTTATTTTTATCTGCAACTTCCTTGCCATTCTTGAATGGGAAGATAGATGTTTTGCATACCAAACAATAGTATGACATCATTTTCAACAAAAAGGATGAAACAGGAATAAAAGAGGCGCCTGCCTTACCTTCCATTATTATGATGACGATTATTCCTTAGGGTCGTGTAATGATTAGTTCATTCATTCAAATAAATTCCACACTTGGAGAGGGAACTTCCTTTGGATAACTGCTTCACTCTTTTGCAAGCACTGAAAACTTCGAACTTGGGTTGCGTCCCAGAAAGTTTAACTGTTGAAAACTCTAAAAAATTCACAAAATATTTCCAACTTTATGGCAATCTACTGTACCGAATGTGTTGCCCTCCTAACTTGCTCTGGATGACTTTTCTTCAGTCGCATTCTCATTCACCCGCACAGTTTGTAGGTAGATATACCTATAATAGCCATACATACAAAAAATAGAGTGTGTTGTATACATACGATCGATGCCGCGCTGCCATATTTATTTTGGTTTATTTATGTCATTGCGCACCCCATGCATACAACTGTCCATGTCATCGGTAGGAAGCCCTGCAAGATTCCGATGGTGGGCTGAATAAGCTGACAAATCGAGGGGATACTGGATGATCTAGGGTGAAGAGACAAAAAATTAAACGGTTGTGTCCTAGACACGACCGCAGTATGACATAAATAAACCCACGCAAAATTGATGTATGTCATGCATTTTTTACTGTTATACTTCATCTTAAATTTTTCAAGTTTTTCAATGTTTCGGTTATGACGAGGGTTATGATTCACCCAAAACAATTTACACATTTTTATTGACAAATTTCCATGTGAAATTCCACATGATTTTTATTTCCCCACACATAAACAGAATCCACTCAGAAGTACACATGAAACGTATACGTCAAATGAATAATATGTCAGTGCTAACATTTGAAAACCCCTAATAAAAATTGTATGGTTAATTTGCTTAACGACGTGTTCTGGGTATCATCCAAACCATTTGTGGAATAGTTCAATGATTTGGGAAATCGTTCGTTTATGGTTATTTTTTATTAGGGACGGCACAAAAGCCATTTGTAAACAAATGGTTTGTGGGCCCTTTACTCACTACTTGAAGTACACCCACGCGACACAACAGCAACATCGGGTAGGGGAAATTTTCCCCTTCCTGACGATGCTGTTGGTTTGCGTGGGCGTTCTTCGGGTAGCGAGTAAAGGGCCCACAAACCATTTGTTTACAAATGGCTTTTGCGCCGTTTTCAAATGTTAGCACTGATGTGTGGTCATGCATGGTTTTTATTAAAGAGCCTGAATTTATAAAGAGACCACATCTTATCCATTTGACAGGTCTTCTGCTCGATTGGAATGACTTTTCCTATGACTTTGACAAACAATCGATTGTTCCAATTTTGACATGTCGCCTCTTTATAAATTTAGGCTCTTTAGTGTTTATATGTACACATATTAAGTATGTGTCCGACACATAGATATCATTTGTTGATCACATAAAAACAATTTTTGAAATTTTGTTAGTGTTCAATGTTGCCCTAATAAAAAATAACCATAAACGAACGATTTCCCAAATCATTGAACTATTCCACAAATGGTTTGGATGATACCCAGAACACGTCGTTAAGCAAATTAACCATACAATTTTTATTAGGGTGGTTCAAGTATTTTTCCTGGAATGTAATAAATTATGAAAATTCAAATGTGGGGTCCTAAACAAGACGTTATATATTTTGGCGTAGAAATGACTGTTCGAATTTCCATTACATATATGCAATTAAATTTTAAAATCAACTATTTCAATTTTATTTGTGGCCCTTGAAAGGGCCGTTTAATGTTGTTGTTCGGAAAGAACCGTTGGGTGATGTTGATGATATTTGTCCTTCCTAATCATCGTGATCGTCAAAGTACATGTATTTTTCGGGTTGCCGTTATATGGGGGAGGAGCCTTATCGCTGGTTGTGAGAAGGTGATCACGCCGTGATCCACCTTTAACCGCTGACTTGCTCCTGCTTGCTAGATGACCAAGTGCCACACCGTCCGAAGCGATAATGAGCAGACGCACGACAGCAGCGCTGTTTTTTATCTTTTCAGATTCAAGCAAAACGATGTGCCATCAAGTGGTACTCGATTATGACGACTGGGTTTGGGAAAAACGTTTATTTCATGAAAACAGAGATAAAATAAGCATTTGTACATTTTTCAAAAGTTTTTTTTACGGAAAATTGAGAAAAAAGGAATTGTGATTCAACACGTTTCCAAGCATCAAAAGATGATTTTCTTCCGGACCAGAAATTAGTGGCATCGCGAGTGATAATTTTTAATTTCAGTTTATTTACGCGCTGCAAGGTGCATGAAAGAGTTCGGCACAATCGGTGTTGATGTTGGCTCGATTGCAACTTTTTTTTTGTTTGTTTTCAAAAGAAATTGATCGAAAGTGTACCAAAAGTGCTTCTGAACGTGTTTCGCAGTTGGGAGTGGTGAAATTCGTAAATTTGCGGTTTATGTTCAGTGAAAATTCCGTATCACAAAATTGCTCACCGAGTTCCCTTTTTTTGCCGTTCGACGACGACGGGCATGCGAGAGAAAAATAAGCATCGGGAATGTGCTCCCGGGTGTATTGATTTGGTGAGTACGTTCCAGTTGAAGATTGTTCTTATACATATCTCGATTGCATTTTCGAGGGGACGTCCGGAGAGCTTTGAGATTTAGGCGTTGTTGCTTTTGCGGGCATACGAGTTGGTCGCCGGTAAGGGCCAGTAAGTGCTGCCAGCAGATGAATCAAGAAGTATTCGAAACAAAATTGGTAAGAAATGTCCATTCAAATCGACTTAATACAGTTGAACAAATTTCAAAACTATATACGTGCCAGATTTGGAAATAATTTTTTTTTAAATCTGGAAGTGTGTTTATGATACCATTATCCATTTGATAAAGGTAGAGTGAACATGCGGGGCTTATTGTAAGTAAAAGTGACCTCGGAGTGGTGGTGAATTACCAGGCATTCTGAAATGGGTCACTGGAGCTGCAATAGAGCTAACACCTTCTAACTCCCGGACTAAACCTGCTTTAATTTAAGGGTAATAAAAAGCAGTTTTCTTCCATAATAACACTGCCGGACAGTGGGGGTTAGATTGTACACACACACACACACACACACAAATTGAGAAAAAAAAGAAATTGTTTCATCTGATTTGTTATGTAATATCCTATCGATTAGCGTATTTGGATTTTAATTTCATCTATAAATGACAAAGTTACATGCGTTCAAAACCTAAGACTGTTTCCCTACACATATTTTTCGATTTGCACCCCAGAATAGTCGATAAAGACGTAGTTCTACATCAAAATAGTATACTTACTAATCACAAACAAAGTGACAGACGGAGCGGCTCGAAAGCTTTGGTGACGAACCTGCTATTGCAATTTTTCAGTGTTCCACATGGAAACACTACTACCAACAATCAATACGAAACTAACGATTTTAAATTGGCTCAATACTTGACTAGCCTATTGGTCCCAAGCACACAATTAACATACACCATTCTAGTCGAAATTGTAGTACTACACTGTCTTTGTTTTGATTCGCTATGAAAATTTGACAGATAAAATGAGGGGTTCATGGATTTTTCTATGTTTCGAGGGGTGCATCGATTAGCTTGGGACCGAAGAGAGTACCAGAGCTGAGCCAAAAAGTTGAGCACATTTCTTCGGGACCTTCTGGTCTTAGAGTTACCTCTATGCTACTACTGGGCCGGGTAAAGCAGGTGCATAAGAACGCCTTTCAATGGTTGTTGGGTTCTGCCCTGACCGGCGATTTGCGACCCCTGTGCAGCTGAACTCCGATTCTTACCTCCACGCGGTGCAAGGTGGGGTTGCTGGCGGTGATATTTGCCGTCAGTAATGCGAACAAGAACGGGGGATCATTGTTGTCACTAATGTACTATTGTTTATAAGTCGCTAGTGCCGGTGATGACGATGATAGAGCAAATAGGTTATAGCCAATTCGAAGTAGCCTGTGATTATCGCTACCTGGGGATGCTAATCGGCTGGGTGCTGGTTGCGACTTGGCCGTCCTGAATCGAGGGGGACGACTCTATCTACGATGCAGAAAAAATTGTGTTATGCTGTGGCTAGCTGCACGCACGCTGAGTAGATAGAAAGAAGATTGTTGACGATTCTGAAGATTTCCTGCAAGAAGATGATGGGCGATGCAAGTAGATGCGACAAATGAAAGAAGATTTTTCGAAGATTGATTCGCTAGTGTGAGATTTGTTGAGCATCTAAACTTGAGATTTAGATGTGCCGCCCCCCTCGTCCTGAATGAACTTTTTCCACCTCTTCAAGGTGGTTCGTTTAAAAGGACGTTAATAAATGGAAGCACTACTACCAAAGATGAATACTAAGATGAAACTGTCGGAAGAAAAACTTTCTATTTTAGTGTCCTCTTTCACGGTCCCTTTCATCCAATGAATACCCCCCGTATTCAAGGTAATTTTGTGGTTTTGCTGCCCCCTCGGTAGAAATGAAATTTTGCGCTCATTTTGATCAAAACAAACACACCAAAATCAGAGATGTCCAATTTTTTAATTACTCGATTAACAACGAATCGATTATTTTTTGGTCACTGTGCTGCCATTTTCCACCAATGTGCAGCACATGTTTGAAACGATCGGTGATGATCCTCTGGAGATGTTAATGCTTATATCGGCATGATATAACCATAGAGCGAGCCATAGAGGTAACTTTAAGACTAGAAGGTCCCGAAATAACGTGCTCAACTTTTTGGCTCAGCTCTGGTACTATCTTCGGTCCCAAGCTAATCGATTCACCCCTCGAAACATAGGAAAATCCACTAACCCCTCATTTTAGCTGTCAAACTTTCATAGCGAATCAAAACAAACATTGTGTAGTACCAGAGTTTCGACTAGAATGGGGTACGTTAATCGTTTGCTTGGGACCAATAGGCTAGTCAAGTAGTGAGCCAATTTAAAATCGTTAGTTTCGTATTGATTGTTGCTACTACACAGCAAAAAAAGTTGTTGAATATTACATCGAAACTGCTGCAACCAGGTCAATCCATCGGTTGTGTAATATCACATTGTACGATGTACATCGATTTTGCGAACAAAATGACATCCATTGATGTAATATTGAATCTGCTTTTTTCTATTACATCATTATTTCATACATCAGCTTGAATTACGTTGATCGATATTACAATTTTTTTTTGCTGTGTACTGGATTGTACCACATGGCAACACTAAATCAAGAGCAAATTTCCGCACCAATCCGAGAAAAAATAAAGTTTTGTTTTGATGACCGAAAAGTTATTCCTATTTCCAAGTAAACACATATAATCTCATAGTGATAGCAATGTTTAACATATTTAGCAGGGTTTTAATCATACAAATGCAAATCGCTAGCTTTCATGCTAAAAATACTGGTTTTTGAGTCAAAAGTTATTATACGTCGTTTGGTGGCCCCTATTGTTACTTAAGTCAAAGTGTATTTACCAGGATATTCGGGAGAATTATCAATTACGTCTCCTTACGTGCAGCCCATTCATCATTTTAGGACCACCGAAATCATCTTAGCAACAAACAGTTCGATTAATTCACTTTAATAATGAGAAAGCGAAACGACGAACGTACACTTTTCACGGGTTTCTCAGCGCTGTTACTTAAGTCAAACGGCATCTCCATAGAAATTGGGTGACATAAGTAACATCGAAAACTATTTTGATCGGAAGGTGATTACGTCAAAAAGCAATTTGACTGGTAAACAAATTTAAAAATGGGATTTGATCCTATATTCGGACAGTATATAGTGTAATAGCAGGAGAATCGATTGACACTGATAGCTCGACTTTGTTTACCTTTGTTACTATCGACGTAATGAAAATTTGCTCTTGTAATGTACTATAATCTTTTGGTTCTTTCTTTTTCATTCTACTCAAAACTGAAATGCAAAAAAAATGACAAAATTATATTGCTGATTGCATCTGAAATTGGACGGCCCCAAAAATGCAAAAAGTGTTATAAAAGTGCACCTTTGAGCCAAATCATTTTGGTGTCTTCGGGGCACTTATTGCTTGCATCATAAGAAATAAGTGCATCGAAGACACCAAGACGGAAGCTCGCACTTTAATCACACTTTTTAATAAGTGAAAACGCGCTTATTAGTCCAGTTTGGTGTGAAATGCGCAATACACTCTTTGCACACTGTCAAAGATCATTGCACACAAAATCAATCAAAACAAAAAATACTAGCCCATCTGGTGGATGATGGCAAAAGCTTTAAATAAAATTCTATTACAGTGAACTACATTATTTTAATGGATTTCTTCGCCAGTTAGTCGTCTGTCACTTCGTTTGTGCTATAATGTAATCCGGGATGTTCAGTTGATCATTGCTACTTGAATCACTGAGGCTAGGCATTAACATTTACTTGACTTTTAACTCCAAGAGTTATTTCGTCAAGGGTGTCTCCGTGAGGGCACTGGTTAACTTGAACCGCTGAGAGTATCTTCCGAGTCTTCGTATTATGATTCCACCATTACAGTGAACAATCTTGTGGCTGTTTTAATCGCGCTTCTGTTATTAGCCACCTCTTACCAATAATCCGCCGATCGACCGCTTCCGTCTACATCGTTTTGCTGATAATTTGTTATGATGGTTTTGTTTTTAGGAAAATAAAATGATGTTCTATCGCTCTATCATGGCTATATGTTGATCCAGCGTGCAGATAGTTAATATCGTTGCCTTCTTCAAAACTTCATCGTCTTGATCTAAAGAAAAGAAAATCGCCACTCGTTCAATGGCGGCCAAATTCAAAGGTAGTACCTGTGTGATGCCACATTCCAATAGTTTTGAAACAAATTTTGCAGCCATTAGACTCAATTATTTAGAAAAAAAATTCATAGTTTAAATCATAATTCTAAACTACACAATTATCCACGTGTACTAAGATTCCCGGATACTTTCGCAGCAAATCTCTCGTAATGTCGAGAGTTTTCAAAGGTTTATTTTTGGGCCGAAAAAAAACAACCCATGGTCCTTTGAAGACGGTTGGTAGTATCTGGTTCGCGCAACGTAGGCATCCGAAGACGCCATAAGTGTTGCGCAAAAGCGGTGCACAATCGCTTAAAAATGAAAAAAAAACTTTAAAATAACCTTCATGATTAATTTACTTAACTACTAGTTGTTAATATTTTGTTTCCCTGTATGCGAGCAACCATTCAAAAAAATAATTATGAAAAAAAAAATATATAAAAAAAAATATTTAACTTTTTACTAGTTGCAAAAATGCCCCACCCTATTGGCAAATCAAAGTTGGCACTCGTGGAGAATAGATGAACTATGAAAGTGATGATGGTTTCAAAATTTTACACGGTGAGGTATACGAGTTCAATCTTAAAATGCCTTTATTTTGCAAATGGAGCATTTTATTTAAATCTGGTTAGTGCTACGTTAGTAGAAAACTTAAGGACTACTCAATAGATGTATAATATAGAAAAAATAATTTCTTTTCAGATTTTTAGGTGTATGCATAGATTTCAGCTTTCCTACAACTGTAGCAACAACCAGATTTAAATTCAATGCTCAGTTTTCAAAATAAAAGCATTTTAAGATTGCACTCGTATACCTGTCCGTGGAAAATTTTGAAACCATCATCACTTTCATAGTTCGTCTATTCTCCACGAGTGGCAACTTTGATTTGCCAATTAGGGAGAGCACACTGCCACAAGGCCACTTTGCTGTACAATAGCAAGGCAATCGAAAAAACTATCCCATTATTGGCAAATCAAAGTTGGCACTCGTGGAGGATAGAAGAACTATAAAAGTGATGCTGGTTTTAAAATTTTCCACGGGGAAGTATACGAGTGCAATCTTAAAATGCTTTTATTTTGCAAATGGAGCATTTTATTTAAATCTTGCCTTGGTGTTGCGTCAAAACGCCATTTCAATGCATTAAAAAAAAGTTATAGAAAAAAAATACATGCTCCACTAAAATGATGTAATCTCAAAAACACCAAAACATACCTCTCTCAAATTTTGATATTTTGTTTATCGAGTATTGCTTAATTTTTGCTGAAAATATCAGATTGCGATTTTTTGAACTTTGGGAGATATTAAAGTTCAAAAATTGTTGTTTTTTTTTCGGTTTTTCAACAATATCTTTAAAATTTTTAGCTTAAACCAGTATGTTTCTTCAAAAAAGTTATTTATTTAATGCATTTACATAGGAGAAAAATATAAAATTATATGGTTGTCAGAAAAAAAAAAACCGAAACATAAAGAAAAAACCATATTTTCGTCCACATAACTTGGAATCAGTAGGCTGTGGAAATTTTACGGCTTCAAAGGAGTTGCTTATTTTGCCAAGGCAAACAACTTTGCTGAAGACATAAAGTCTCCAAAACGACAGAGAAAGAAGTTAGATTGTGGCGCCATCTTAGCGGAAGAGTTTTGAACTATTTGTTTATGTCAATAGATGGTCTTTATTATGATGATAAACTTTACCCAGGACACCAAGTCACGGAAATGCTTCGTTTCGGAGTTATTAATTTTGCTCCGCTAGATTGCGTTTCTGGCCCAGTGTGCACTGGAGGTACCCAGGGCACTTAAGTATATTCCTTGAAGATAATATTTATAGTTTGAATGAATAACGAAAGCTGTATTGTCAATATCGCTGTGTATGGTCGAGGTTTTACAGCACTGCTCATATCGCTCCAGTTACATGAAATGGCAATGATAATATAATAGACCGATCTCAAGTGTCGAGCGCCCGTTCTCAAAACAGACTTGATAATTTCCCAAAAATCTAGCAATCGGCGATAAACGGCGAACGATGATCGGCGAAAGGCACTTTTTAGGCCACATTGCGATCGCTCGGTATTTCTCACTGTTCAACTTATTCTCAAGTTATAACCTCCCTTTTCCACGGATTTCCCAATGGATACGTCATCTTTAACCAAACAATTGAAACCGAAATTTTAGAATGCATGGAGGAAAAATCACGATTCATTAAATCTCCATGAAAGTGACACTTAGCTAGTAAAATCATTGTCTCAAATCCGAATGTCCGTTTGTATACCTCTATAATCTTTAATCTTATGCTACCACACATGCCCTCGGCCTACCATCTAGTAGCGATGTCTCTGATAGTGAATCTGCGGCGGTTGTGGCTGTTGTGGATTGGAGATTGGAGGCGGTCTAGCTGGCGGATAACCCTGTGTAATGCTGCCACCTTTCGGCATCTGAGTGTACCGCAAAAGTACATTCAAGTTGATTAATAATGGAAGAAAACAAAAGAACAAAATACACGGTTCTCGTTTGGTATGATGTGTAAGTAACGTATTTATCTAGTTTATCGCAAAATGCCAAAAAGCGATGAGTTTGAAAGCGGGTGTTTGAAGGATGTTCGCCGATTGGTGTGAGTTGGTTAGCCCAAAACCGAAAAATAAATCAGGATTGAAATTTTGCGTTGCATTTGGAAGGTGATGCGAAATACAATTACAGTGATGGTGAAGCATTAGGTGATGAGCGTGTGAATGAAAGCAGCCATGCTAGCAATATTTCGTTAAATCAATAGCGCTTACTTGTTGGTTGGAAGCGATCGCGTGCATCGGAATACCTCCCGGGCGGAGAGCCGAATTGTAGACTATTCCTTCCGGCAAATGGCCCGTCTGTGGAGGCGGCTGTTGAGGAGGTGGCTGAGGTTGACGCAGATCCTTACGATCATCGTGCTTCAGCTCGATGTGGTATGGAACACAACGATCCTGTGAAATCTTTTCAATGGTGATAGCTTTCAGCTGCGGTGGTGGCCCCGGATTTTGTGGCGGCTGAGGCATTCCCTGCTGGTCGAGCGTAATGTGATACACGTTACCTGGACCAGGACCTGCTTTTCCCAACTCGGGTGCCTTTTGTGGAGCAGGAGGTGGAGGACCTTGCTGTGGGGGTATATCGACGTGATAGGACTGACGAATCGGCATCGCCAAGTTGCCCTGATAGGGCGGATAGATGATTTGCGGTTGTGGTTGACGATTGTCCTGCGGATTTGGCGGGGGTGGCGGATTGCTCGGATAGAAAAGCGTTCCCGGAGGGCAATACTGCGACTCTGAAAACATACATAAACGAGAGTAGTCATTTGCACAGAGCTTTTAGAAAGAACGAGCGAAGCAGAATAGACGACAAATTCGTTATGGTTTGGAAAGCCTTTTTGTCCTGTTAAATGTTTGCGGCTTGGTTAGTTACTCGTTCGCTAGGAGGAAGGAACTTTCTGTTCAAGGCATTCACAACTGTTTCTACTTATTTTAACTATTTACACAGGGAACGCGATAAGAATTTACCATTATAAATATTGCTTCTTGGAATAGATACTAAATTTACGTAACCAGCGGTTGACATTACGAAATAAAATTTGACTAAAATTTCTGATAACAAATAGCAACACAATATAGTAAACAATAAAATAACTAAGAGCTTTGAGTGTGTTGATTTATTTCCTTTTAATTCCGTTATAATTGTTTATCTTTTGACAGATACGCGTATTTCGTCTACTACTTGCAGATTTCATCAGTGCAAAGTACTCAACGCCAGTGGTCTGCACGTAGTAGACGAAATACGCGTATCTGTCAAAAGATAAGCAATTATAACGGAATTAAAAGGAAATAAACCAACACACTCAAAGCTCTTCATAAAGGGATTCCGTTAAGAGGTTCACAAAAAAAAAGAACTTTAAAAAAAAATTGAAGGAGCAATCTTTAGTGCTTATAAACCTTCCCTTTCTAATGTATCTAATCGTTTGTACGCAAAGACAACCTGTACCTTCAGTGCAGTGATCACATAGGGGAAATGGCTCTAATGTTGGCCTATGGATCTAAGATTGGCCCCATCGCTAAAGATCTGCTGTTGATCAATGTTATCTAGATGAACGCGTTATTGGGACGGTACTAATGGATATTTTTGGTCGCTATTGAAAATTTAGTCGATTGCTGAATTTATGTATGGGCCCAATTTAGGGGCATTTAGGCCGGCATTACATCCATTTCCCCTACATCACAAAATTATAAATTATAATAACTAAAATACATATTTTTATACAAAACAGTGCACAACATACAGAAATAAACCACTTCATTAAAGAATTATCGTTCAACTAGAGACATAAATACATAGGTAGTAAACATAGCCAGTAGACGAAAGGAAACGAACTAACAGTGTAAGAAAGGCAAACAAGAGTTTAGGTAAATCAGTTTTAATATTAGCAAGATACCACGAGTAGTAAGATCGGTAAGATAGAGATTAAAAGGGTTATGAGAGCAATATTACATAGAAAGATTGAAAGTAAAGGTAGAAAAAGAGCAAAAAAAAGTCAACTCACTGTTCCACAGAACGGCACGGGCCACTTCACCCGGGCCTCGTCTGCCCTCCTCGAGTTCTGTTTTATTTTATCAAATTGTTTAATGTAATAGTTTATGATTTTGTTGGATTCGAGAAAAGAAGGAAAACGATTTGCAGAAGTAAATATATAATAAAGTTTTCAAATCAGGTATACACTAGTATAGTAAAGAAGATTGCAAAAATTTAGACAAAATGAGGGAGAATCGTAAACGAGAGCCGAAACAAAGTCTTATCTTTGATATAGGAAAAATGCTGTCGAAAAGTATTCTACAATCATAAGTAAATCTTCATTCATGTACCAGTATTGCTCGATTGCAACTAAATTGTAAGAAGGGACAAGGGAAGTTATACATACTCTGAGGCTGTTGGGGTGGATACGCTTGACTAGCGTTCGACTGTTTGTAGTATCCTTGCGACGAAGGGCTGTGCGTGCGTTTGGCCACATTTACCGGTGGTGTGCTCTAAAAGTAAATCCATCATCACATCAATGCAAACCCAATCGTACACTGAGGCAAAATAATTTTAAGAATTCCACAAAACATGACGTATGAACCTTACTTATAAATGATTATCGAAATACATGAGGTACTACGAGTGGTTCTTATACACCTTTAACCTATTCTATTTCCTAAGCGTTGATAGACGTGGGAACAAATCACGGAGTCAATAATCTGAACACTCCAGGATTCGATTCCGGTATGCTACATTTTATGTAATTACTTTTTTTTTAATTTCATAAGCTAATTTATGAATTCTGTTTCATAAGCCAAACGTATGAATTCTGACGTTCCTTTGCCTCAGTTTAGAGTTCGACAATAGGATTTCTAAAGGAAATCATATGTTTGGCTTATGAAACTTAAAATAAGTAATATAAAATGTAGTCATGTCTTATGAAATTCTTTTGCCTCCGTGTTATCGACTACTAGTTCAGACCTTGTGTATCAAATGCTGCTGATGAGGAGGCATAGCAGTTGGCGTCCGTTGTGGCAGGAAAATCTGCGGTTGTGGAATATTATGAATTGCAAACATCTCTCTACCGAAAAAAAGAAAACAATCATAAACTGCCCATCACCATTTTTCCCAAAACAAAAATGTGACCCTTACACGGACTCTTTCATTTGACGCTTCCGATTGTCGTCCTCGTTAAGGACCTTCTTCAATTGGAGAAACAGCTGCTGCTTCTCGTTGCGCAGCTCCTGCAGTTGTTTTTCCAGCATCTGTATTTGCTCCTTGGTTTCACCCAGGGTCATGACGTCTTGTTTTTCACGAGCCTCTCGTTCTTTTCGGAGACGTTCCTCTTCGACTTCAGCTTCCAGCTCTGAAAATAAACACACGCAAGGACATCGCGGAAATAGAAGTTCAAACACGCAATTTTCTCCCCGTTTGAATGAATACAAACCCTGTTTCTTGCGTTCGCGTTCCCTCATGATGTGTCGCTTGAGGGCGTTCCAGAGTTGCTCCTCCTTTTCGGTCTTGACCACAGGTTGAGCTGGTGGCTGTGGAGGCACCGTTTTAAGATACTTTTTTGCACTCATGATCCCCGAACCCGGACGGAGATGATTCGAAAAATTTTGCAATGGAAAAATGCAAAATAAATGGAAAATATTGCAGCTGTGCTTGATGCTTAATCCCGATCGAAAAAATTTCACTTTTTCTGAGGCTAAGTCAGTTGAATTATTGAAAAGGGCTTATGAGCTTTTGTAAACAAAATTTGGAAAAACCCTTCCCTCGCAAACCGAATGCTTCTCACGCAAATTAATGGCATCGTCGTGTAGAGAAATGTTTTCCCTTTCCTTTGATGCTGTTTATTTGCTTTAGTGGCTTAGTTTTTATGAGGAAATGGCTTACAAAATTTGTGTTTACAAAAGCTGATAGGCCTTTTTCAATTGATGGTCATGGCTTCTCTTCTGCAGACAATTTTGACGTTTTGGTGGGTTTGTATAAGCAATATAGCTTGTGCTAACCGGCTAATTTGCAACATTCTAGACAAACAATTTAGAAAGGCCTATCCGCTTTTGTAAAAAAAAAAACTTTGTAAGCGGGTTCGTATTACCCAAATAAAAATAACCATAAAAGATAGCTTAACGACGTGCTCGGGGTATCATCCAAACCATTTGTGGGATAGTTTACCCATCGTGGATACAGTTCGTTTATGGTATTTGTGTATTAGGGTGGTGCGATTGATTGTGTTAGTGAGATGACAATTTTTTGTTAGTTGTGAGAAATTTTTTGTTTGCTGTAAGAACTTTCATTCAAAAGTAAAAACAAATTTAAAAAAATATAAATAAAAATAAACAACAAAACGAAAACAAACTTCCCTTTTATGAATAAAATTTAACCCATTTTCAATAAAAGTGGCTTTACTCATTAATGAGTAAATTATTTTAACAATAATGAGTTGCTGCATACACGGTGAAAAATATGAGCCCAAAATTGAGTTCCTCTCACCAGAGTCGGTGTATAATGAGTCACGCCAAGAGAAAAACAGTTGAACTCGCATCACGGTTTTCGAAAGATTCCCTTTCTTTTAACTTGGCAACAGAGGACTTCTGCATCAACTTCAAATGACTTCTAGCGAGGAAATAAATTAACGGCTGTAGTAAATCATTATAATCAGTGATCTCGTCGAATTATCTTAAAGAAAAATAGTAAATTGTTATTATATTATACTGGATTGTACCAACCGGTGAACACTCGTGTTTATTTCAGTTACCGTGGGGACGTAATTTGTGATTAGCCCGGTCCCTTTCAAATTGTTTCATTATTAATGTACGGTCCTTATATTTGAAATGACGTTTCACATTCATCTAGTGATGGCCGATTTTCATTCGAATAATCGATAAATCGATTAACGAACCGAACGTAAAATATTTGTAATCGGTTATATGCTGGGGGGGGATGTGCTGTCAAATCAGCCTACTGATCATCTTGTATGAAACTGGTTCCAAACGTAAACAAACGCTGTAGGTTTCTTATGGCTTGTTTACGTTTGGAACCAGTTATGCGAGGTAGGCGACGATTGTTCGTATTTGACAGCCAGCTCCCCCCCTTGGTTATATGACAAACGAAGTGACAGACGGAGCGGCTCGAAAACTTTGGTGACTAACCTGCTATTTCAATTTTTCAGTGTACCACATGGCAACACCACTACTACTGGATTGTACCACATGGCAACATGAAAATAGAAGCTTCGAAGATACGGGCACCGATTCTTCTAGCGGGACAAACAATAAAACGCATAGTTTCCTACTGTTGCCCAACGCTGTAAAGCTGTAAAATTTATTAAGGTCTTATAAATAATAGGTTAGATAATTATAATTTAAAGAACTCACATCTTCAGTGATTATTCATAGCGAATAAGTAACGCAATTAGTTACTTATTTACTACGCCCGTACTTTCGCTTCTAATTACCATATCACTTCTATTTAGGTTGTCATCGTAGCGAAAGCACGGTATCTCCTTACCTATAAACAAAAAGCACTCACTATAGACTATAGTGCACTTAGACTCATGCGATGTTCTTGGTGAGGGGTGAGCCGATGCGTTTTCACGCAACACTCCCTCCCGTAACACTTCAACATCACGAAGTTTTACCAGTCCATTCGGCGAACAATATTAACGTTAACACTCAGCCTTTAGATCGATGACGGAAGAACATCAAGTGTGTTGTTGAACCAAGTAATATACACGCGAGAAACTTTGAGACAAGGATCACTGGGTTGCTTATATTCAAACGTTGCGAGTAGATCGACTGAGTTGGATGAATTGCTGTCACAGGATCCCGTTGAGTCCAATCCCTCGATGTGTAGGTAATGATTAAACCACAGTTGAGTGCGTATTTTCGGTGTCTGTGATCCAATGAGCTGTGTGATCGTCATTGGGTCCGCAGGATTTAGGTTAAGTATGCGGTCAAGCAGGTACAATATGGGAACTGTTGGTCAGTAAATTTACTCACACTAGCAACGTGAATCTTTGAGCACATTCTAAGTTCGCTGGTGTAATTATAGACACTTTCTACATACAGTTCCATGCTACGTTTGAAGATCTTTACAGTATTGAAAATAGAAGCTTCGAAGATACGGGCACCGATTCTTCTAGCGGGACAAATAATAAAACGCATAGTTTCCTACTGTTGCCCAACGCTGTAAAGCTGTAAAATTTATTAAGGTCTTATAAATAATAGGTTAGATAATTATAATTTAAAGAACTCACATCTTCAGTGATTATTCATAGCGAATAAGTAACGCAATTAGTTACTTATTTACTACGCCCGTACTTTCGCTTCTAATTACCATATCACTTCTATTTAGGTTGTCATCGTAGCGAAAGCACGGTATCTCCTTACCTATAAACAAAAAGCACTCACTATAGACTATAGTGCACTTAGACTCATGCGATGTTCTTGGTGAGGGGTGAGCCGATGCGTTTTCACGCAACACTACTACTGGATTGTACTAGCATTTCCACCAAATGTATTAGAATGTTTTGGTTCTATCTCTTTCACTCTACTCAAAACTGAAATGCATAAAAAAATGACAAAATGATACACTCTTTGCACACTGTCAAAGAATCATTGTACACAAAATCAACTTTGTTCAAATCAAAACAAAAAAACTAACCCATCTGGTGGATGATGGCACAAGCTTCCAAGAAAATTCTATTACAGTGAACCACATTATTTTAATGGATTTCTTCGCCAGTTAGTCGTCTGTCACTTCGTTTGTGGCGCAAAGAGTGTATCAATTTGTCAATTTTTTATGCATTTCAGTTTAGAGTAGAGTGACAGAGATAGAACCAAAACATTCTAGTACATTTAGTGTTGCCATGTGGTACAATCATAGAGGTAACTCTAAGACCACTGGGTCCCGAAGAAAATCATTATTATTTTTGGCTCACTCAGTACCAGAACAACGGTCCCAAGCAGTCCCAAGCTATTTCACTCACCCCTGCATGTTCTGCATGAATCCACACACCCCTGATGTTATCTGTCAAACTTTCATAGCGAATCAAAACAAACATAGTGTAGTAATAGAATTTCAACTAGAATAGGGTACTGTGTGGCATATGTTAGAGCTAGTGTAAGCGGGTCTTAACTTGACGCTTAACTAGTCAGCAAGCCGTGCGTCCAGCTCGTCGATGTCAGCGCCGTTACAGTTCAATGCCGTTATACCAGTTATACGGCGAGCTCGATGGCAACGCTTCAATGAACACGCACGGACAACTCCTCACTTTCGGACCATCTCTCAACGAGGTAAGTCACACATTGGCGATCCTGCCAGGAGATTCAAATAAGCCGTACAAAATCTTCTATACATTAGCTGATTTGGTTTTCTTTCTGAAAGAAACCACGCTAATAGCGAGCAGATTAAAATAACCGCAGCCCTTACGCATTGCAAAAAGAACATTGCAGAGGAAAAAAGAACGCCGATTCTGCCTATCGTCTCAAGACGATGCCATCGCGAGAAAAAAGCCACCAAGCCTGCCTTAATCGTTTCAAAACGACGCCATAAAAAAAAACGCCAAATCTGCGTAAATGGTTTCAAAGCGATGCCAATGCCTAGAAAAAAGCTGCCTCAATCGTTTCAAAACGACGCTATTACAAAAAAACGCCAAATGTGCCTCAATCGTTTCAAAGCGATGCCATTGCCGCGAAAACTGCCCCAATCGTTTCAAAACGACGCCGTTACAAAAACGCCAATATGCCTAATCGTTTCAAAACGATGCTATCGCGAAAAAAAAAAAACTGCTAAGTCGGCTTCATTTACTTTAAAATGACGCCATTGTTAAAACTGCAAAATCTGTTATAATCGTTTCAAAACGACCCCTCATTGCAAAAACTACCGCACACATTTCACCAGTATAATCTAGTGCATAACATTTCTTCAATCACTTCCTTTACGGTATTTTTTTTACTGACATTTGTTGCATCCACAATTGCAGGCTACATTTCGAACCCCCCGCGATATCACCGCAGAGTTCGAGCAATGCCAAACAGCGGCAAGTACGTTCGGCCGAAAGAAGACCGTGAGGGTTATTCGAGCGACCGTGAACCGGAGCGAGAAGCAAAGCCTAACGACGTCGATGCTGCCACGGGCCACGATGACGACGGCAGCGAATACTCAGCGGACTAAAGCAACAGCAGTGGCCATGAAGGAAGTGACGACGAAAACACCGACCTTAGCAGCGCCTACAGTACAAGAAGCATTAGCCCTACCAACGGCGATGGAGAACCGGCCGCACCATCAAAGGAGAAGGAACCTGATGCGAATCGCGAAGGTAACGCCGCTGAGCAAACAAACCCGGAAATGAACAACACAAACGAACGATAACGGTGTCTCCAGGTTGTACACGGCAGCTTCGTGTCCCGCGACGGATATCCGTCGAAAAAAATAAAGGAAAGTAGGTGACAAAAACCCCTGGAGTCATGGCCAATCTGTGTAAATCTGCATTTGCAGCAGAGTGGCAGAGGAAGAGGTGGGAACAGCGCATTCCCCCGCAGTTTTTTTTTATTGAATTGCATCGAATTGATGTAAAAGAGTCATCATCCAACAGGTGGTTGCGAGATGGCACTATGCATAGCGGCGGTTAACTGGATGTGTCAACCTCTGCTTTTTCCCAG